TCACTCAATATCCTTTCAATATAATATTTACAATAATTTAACAATTTTGTCTTAAAGTCAACATACAAAAAAAAAACTCTTTGATAAATAGAAAGTTCAATACAACAGGATTTATTTGAAATATTTTGTAACATTATAAAATGTCTTTACTGTTACGTTTGATTAATTGAATGTGTTCTTGCTAAATAAACGTTTTTCCTTAAAAAAAAAAAAAAAATATATATATTTTTGACCCCAAACTTTAGTGTAAAACACTTTACCCTCATTTAAAAAAATATTACTTTTAGCCAACTAGTTCCCAGTTATTTTAGTGGATGCATGAAGTCAGTTCTCCTCGAGTTCATTACTTCAACTATAGTCACGTTGCACTAACATTCAACAAGGAAAAAGTTACAGTTTCACTTTTATCACTATATCTATTGTTGTTTCATTTCAAACCTAAGACCTAAGGTTGTTAGCTAATGCAATAACATTCATACATCTTTACCATCTAAATACTTTTTGGGGCCACTGTGTATACATATAAATCTTACTTGTGGTGTCAATCTTCTTCACTAGACCTCTTCCTTTGGAGTGGAACGGCACTCCTGCTGTTTTCTTTAACTGCTGGGCAGTCTCTGTGGCTTTAAAACAAATATGATGAATAATACACAGTGACAATAAACATGTCATCACACAAACATTAGGGTAAACTCCTATTTTAAATGATGCGAATGACTCCATACTGAAAAATGAAAACACAGTTGCTCTGGCACAAAGAATGCATAAACACACTTACATTTCTGAAGCAGCTCAGCTCTAAGCGTAGCACTCTTGGGTTTCCTCTTGAGCTGGAAGTGCTTGATGGGTGGAGTGAGCGGCCCCACCAGCGTGGTCAAAGCACTCTTGTTCAGATACTGACACTCCAGAGGCAACATGGACGACGCTTCACATTCATTTACTGAACAGAGGTGCAAACATTAACAGTAAGTCTCAGCAGCTCTTTCTTACCAAAGTGTATATGCACTTGCAAGTGACAGTTTAGCAAAAATACACAAGTTCAGTTAGCTCTCAAAAGCCAACAAGAACCCAAACAAACAATCCCAGACAACCACAATAACTGTAGAAATGTCACTTTGTCACTGCTATATAAATGTAGAGTAATAATAATGGGCAATGATCGATCATGAAAAAACGGGTTTTAAGAAAAATATGAAAAATTATAGATTTTTCTTTTATGCCAAAAATCATTAGGATATTAAGTAAAGATCATGTTCCATGAAGATATTTTGTAAATGTCCTACCGTAAATATATTAAAACTTAATTTTTGATTTTGATATGCAAATATGCATGGCTAAAAACTTCATTTGAACTTTAAAGGCAATTTTCTCAATATTTTGCACCCTCAGATTCCAGATTTTCAAATAGTTGTATCTCGACCAAATATTGTCCTATCCTAACAAACCATACATCAATGGAAAGCTTATTTATTCAGTTTTCAGATTATGTATTTCGAAAAATTGACCCTTATGACTGGTTTTGTGGTCGAGGGTCACATATATATTTATTAAACATTAAATGTGTTGAACTTCAAACTTCAAGTACATCAAAAATTTAAATATTGCAGTTTCAAAATTGCTATTGGTTACAAAAGAATTTTGGACAGCCGTTTGCAATCAGTTAATGAATAAAGTACATGTTGATTTTTAGTCCAGGGCAGAAATATAGTGCTTTAAAACTCTGCTAACTTAATTTTTTTACATGACACACTGACACACAGTGCACCCATCAAAGATGTCTGTCTGACACACATACACAAAGACCAACAATGAGCTGTCAATCTGACCAAAATATACATCCCTAAATATGTAGTCAAAATAGTCAAGGATGCAGATATATCTGGACCTAGACAAGAACAAATCTTTTATGCGATTCGGTCTTTTTATGTGAAGAGTAGCAACCCGAAGAAATGATTTACAACAGCCTTTGACCCTCTTCTAACACCATCATCCACTATCAGATTTCAGACAGACCTTTCTCGCGCAGCTCTCCAAGTATGTCCTGTACATTAGGGTTCTGCTCCTCCAGGTCCAAGTTTAGTGAGCCGGTCTCTGGACATGATTTCAGGATGTCGGCCACCATTAACACCCATGGCTCAGAGTCCACAGTGGCCAACTGAATGATCTCTGACAGAGCCTCCTTCATCTGGAATATAAGGGAAGAGAGAGAGAACACACAGAGAGAGAATTATTTTTTAACCTAGTCAGTCTGTAAATGAATCCGCTACCATTGCACTGGAGTTTGCCTGATATTGTAAATAGATCATTCCACCATTGTTTACATTATTGCTATTTTATATTTCCTTCCTTCTTAGTGCTCTGAGGTAAAACATACAGAAAGAATCATGACAGGATTCCAGACTAATTTAGTGAAACAATGGAGTACAACACTGTACCACACTTAAAGGAAACCTTAATTTTTTTCAAACCATAAATCCAATATTCTATACAATTTAGCAAGTGTGCAAATGTTTTTCCATATGTTATGTGGCACTAAAAAGGAAGTTTGCTTTATCACTCCATGCATTTGCCCATAAAAACCAATAAATGTGTTAGCCAATAAAACTCACTGAAAACATAACAGACAGTATTTAAGTTTAGCTTTACAAACACTATTTTGTTTGAAAAAAAAACAAAAACAAAAACAATACAGACTGATTCTTTAATTTTTTTGCACACAACGTACATGAACGCGTTTTTGTGCAAGTAAGGATTTGTTTCTTCAGAAAGTGATCAAATCAAACAATCAATCAATCAACATAATCACTGACTATCACATACATATATTACAGTATTTTTTATTTGTTTTGATACATGTTTATTTTATCTTATTTATACATATTTAGATTTTGGACATCTCATTAATTACTTAGCACCTTGTTTGAATACTACTTTATTGTTATGGTAATGTTGTATATTGCTTTTCTTGTCATTACTTTTAATGCTTAGGCCATAACTGTGTGTAAAACAATCATAAAATAGCCAATAAAGCACTTAAAATGTAAAAGGAACACTGAGTAGAGCCTTTCTCAGTGCAAAACCATAGCTTCCGCGAAAAACGTTACTATTGTATTTTATTTTGTTAATTGCAGTAGTTAATACAGTTACCACAGTTTTACAGTACTAACAATTTCAATTTTGGACTAACTGTGGAATTAATTTTGGCGTAAACTATAGTCATCATTTTATAAGGGGGGCGTCCAAACATAGAAATAAACTTCATAAAAATAACACGGCAATAACACTCCGAAAGTTTACATAAAGGAGGCTAGCAAGTTAGCTGAAGCCCAGAGGCTGAAGACAGACAGACAGACAGCAGCCTGAGCTGAGCTCTGCTGGAGACTGACATGATCCACACAGCAGCTGCAGGGGTCTCGCGGTGGAAGCCATGTTATTACACATGCAACACATACGTCTCAGCAACATATGACACAATTACTACTAATAAACAACATGCCACCCCAATAACGCATGCCACGCTCGGAAGTTAAGACAGTTTGTGTGTGCAGTAGCAGAAGGAGTGAGTCCTGCAGTCGCACCTCATCCACGGTCCTGCGCGGGAGGTGCAGCATCCCCAGCAAGAGTTTCAGCTTCACCGGAGGCGACAGGCTGGAGAAACACAGCCGTATGTTGTCGATGACCGATACGGTGAGCAGAGAAGCGATGCTCGAAGGTGTCCACAGCTCGTCTGTCGATCCCAGTTTGTTGTGGAGCCACAGGCCGGTGTCGCTCTCCCTCATCGACGCCATCTTGGAAAAAGACGAATAATGAGATCGGGCATTTTAACAGGCTACCTAAGAAAACAGACACGCACGCACGCACACATACACAAATGCGCGCTAGGACCCGTGAGACCACAACCAGAGAAAAACTTTTAGAAAAAACATATAGTCCATATGCTATCGGAGTTTTAAATTATTTGTGTAATGGTTTTGTTTTCTATTTATCTCTGTTTTTCTTTTATTTTTTAATGTATTTGGTTTTGGCGCTGTGTTATGTTTGGCAATGTATGAACACTTGGCTATTATTCCTTGGCATGTGTTTTGTTTGCAACACGTTTTTGTCTACAGTTATAGACAGTGTTGGGGAAAGTTACTTTTAAAAGTAATGCATTACTTTTAAAAGTAATGCATTACAATTTTGCGTTACTCCATACAAAAGTAACTAATTACGTTACTTAGTTACTTTTTATGGAAAGTAATGCGTTACGTTATGTAGATATTCTCTTGTAAATTAAAAAGTAATGCGTTACTTTACTAGTTACTTGAAAAAAGTAATCTGATTACGTAACTCGCGTTACTTGTAATGCGTTACCCCCAACACTGGTTATAGATTAATAATAATACAAATATTATTTGAGTTAGTGCTAATTTTAATTTAAAAATTGATGTTTCTTTAATTTAACTGATGAATCTTATTCTGATCTTTCTTTCTCTTTTTTTGCAACCTTGCATTCATGAATGTGAAATTTGGTCAAAAATATACTGTTAGGCAAGTAGAATATATAGATCTAAAATAGAACTATCTATCGATCTATCTTATTCAATAAACGGCCAAGAAACAAATATAAAGAGGTAGCCTATCGCTGGTGCTGGCGGCTTTATTCCACGTGGAACATCCATTATATAGAAATTACTAGTCTACACCCCTCATTAGCAAATGCACTTCAACTTTATACAATCCATTACTGTCACCTAGTGGACTAAACATCCCACTCATTACATCCCTTTTCCTTGGATAGATAACAACATTACACTATCTATCAAAAATGTTATTGAAACATCGACTCAAATGTGCTAAAAAGCTGCGCTGTTCTCAAGTAGTAATACAAATCAAAACTTATATTATTACATTCAAAACGAGTACGGTTGGAAGCCATGTGACCTGCGGTAGCCAATCAGACAGAAAAACGTTGCCTAGGTGTAAAAAATATTTTGGACTCCATTCTACGGTGCTCCGCGAAGGACAATAGATCTCAAAAAGCGCAATTGACGCAACGAAGCTGCGTCCTGAATAGGAGGGCGGTGGTTTGACTAACGGTACTACTGTCTTTATCAGAGACTACAGGTAATGCAAATGCTTTAATTAGCTTTAATAATACGCAGTACAGGAGTGGGATTTGTGTTTTTTGGTGGCCATATTTGGAAATGACCATATAATAGCTGTATAAAGACAAAGCTAAAATAAAGCAAAATGATGCTCGACAGTCTCGTATTTGCGCTTTTGTTGGTCTGTCTTTTATAAGGTATTTTTTTCATTTGTTATTTTTTGTAAAAAGCGTCTGCTAAATGATTAAATATTAGAGCATTTTGTCCATTCCTCCAAAGCTTACTATATGTGTTGTGGTTTCGCACAGGTGTTGTGTGTACGGTGATGCTGCGCGACAGTATGAGGCCAAGCGGAGCTCTAGCGACGGCGATGCTGCTGGTACTGATCCAGCTCCTCTGTATCAAACCAGTTCATGCCGAGGAATCAGGGACGGTCATTCCCGCTGAGAGTAAGACTCTGTATGCTTTTATAAACGTGTGGTCAACAAGCATGTATCATTGCATATGTCATCACAACATGTGGCCCTTGTTGTTTCCTGGGCACTTGCTCAGCCTCAGTGATGACGGTCAAATGCAGTGTTATTTTAGTATTATTTATATACTATTATAGTTTATATATAGCGAGAGAGAGCGTATATATTCAAATTGTCGTTTAGTTTACGTTTTCGTCTAATTTTTAGCCTTATTTCAAATAACAAAAATGGTTAAAAAATTAAATTTTTGACTAATGATAATAACACTGGTAAAAACCTACTGTACAATTTTTGTTTAATAGGCCGGCCATGTGTTGATTGTCATGCCTTCGAGTTCATGCAGAGAGCCTTGCAAGACCTGAAGAAAACAGCTTTCAACTTAGATTCACGGGTAAGATCATAAAACGGGAGACAACTGAGACATAAAGTCATTCAATGCAGTCTTTTGCATGGCAGTCAGGCCAAGGACCCCTTGATCAGGACAAAATGATTTGTTAGCCCTAATTATATTTTTTTAATGTGGGATAGACAATAAAACATTCAGTTGACATTTACCCTCTTAACATTTTCCATTTTATAACAGGAATTCAATTGAGAGCCAAAAATAAATTTCAGACTCCTTTAGTATTGCTATGGTCCCCCTAGGGAGTCACAGATGCCCTACTGAAGACCCCTGCTTTCATGTCTATTCCTGTAAGTTTAGAAATGATGGACTCAAGCTGTGAAAAAGGTTAATGTCTAGTCGATCTGGTCAAGTGAAGCATCTTTTAGAAATTTTAGAGACAGACACCTGAGGGCTTCACTTTTGCCGTGTTATATCTCATGTGTTTTCAGACGGAGAGTTTGGTGCTGAAGGCCGAGAGGAGGGCACTGTGTGACTGCATGCCTGCCAGCAGCCTGCGCTAAAAAACAGCTGTAAACACTGCACTAAAGGATACTACCTGCTCTCTCAGTCATACACACTCTTTTACTCTCTCTCAAACATGTTTCCTGTCACGTGTTACATGAAACGATTTATCTTTCATTGTAATATGTGCATAGAGCATCATAAATACACATTCCTGACTAAAGAAGTCACAACACAACATTCCACAGTTTAAATGTCAATGATGAGAGGCACATACATATTAGGGCAGCAGCTAACGCATTGAACTTTCCATAAGTGTGTATGAAGACAAGGGTAAATGTTTCCTCTCCACGCACAATGCACTGCAAAATATACTGCAAACCTTAAACACATTATTTATCATAATTATTTGCACAGTACACAGTTTCTTTTTTTTTTTCAAATGTTTAACTGCTTTTATATTTGTGTTCTAGAAATATAGGATTAACAGTCACAATAGTCAAGCAGATTTGAATTTAGATTTATTAAATATCAGAATTTAAATGTAGATCTTCAGGCGTTGTCTTAGAGAGTTTGCTGTAAGATTATTAGATGATAGATATATGACTAGAAAAGAAACCTGCATGTAAAGTGCTTGTCTAGAATTTTATATGAGATTTATGAAGGAGGAACAAGAAGGGATGGTTTCCTGTAGAGATTACTTTGGTACTAAGGTGTAAGTTCACAGCTGTAACAATGTCTTTTTGTGTGTAGAGAAAGTGCATTAAAACATATGTGATGTTGTATTTCATGCTATAAATTATTTCATAGGTTTTATTAGACCCTTGTCTTTTTATCTTAACCTCCGTAAAAATGTGTAATTAACCAAAAATCTCTGGATATGTGATAACGTTCCAGATTAGCTGAAATCAGCAGCTGCAGTAATCTATCTGAAGTTTTTTTTTTTGTATCTGAATCCTACCAGCTGTTAAAAAAGCCAACATCCAGCAGTTTGCAGCTGTCTTGCCCCGCACGCTCTCTTGCCCGTGGCGCATCAAATGACCAGATGGTGGTGCAAGGATATAAAGGTTCCCTAATACTGTCGCATCAATGCAGCACTTCCCGTTGAGGTGTGAAAACACAGCTCTGCAGGAGCAAGCAACTTTAAGGAAAAAAATACATTAACAGTAAACACGAGAATTCAGAGAATGGCACAGCCCCCGCGGTTATAGTTAAAAGTGAAATGTAAAGCTTTCCAAACTATTGACAGTGGCGCAAAATAGAGAGAGAGAGAGTTAAAGTACTTTACCTAATGATGGCACACTCTTCATTAAAGGAGGGTAAAAGAAAACTTTAGGTAAAAATCATTCATAATGTTTCTTTTCCACACATAGTAACGGTTGAGGCGAAGAAAAAAAAGTTGCTCTCTCACAAGAAAAAACAAGGCAGAGCACTGGCTTAGTCACCGGCAATAAATCATTGTATGTTTCAATAAAAGTGAAAAAAATTATTATACTTTTGGAAAGACAAATATTGATCACATTTGAATATAAACATTTTTTTTTTAAATGTAATAACAATAAATTAACACTGATTCTGTGTTTTACCTAAATCCTAATGTGTGTCACAAAGCAAGGCCAGACACAACAGGTAAGTGCAAATCAGGATGGTTTATTGACTGGGTAAGGGGATGACTGGAATAGGTGTGTAAAGGCAGGTGAGTGTCAACACAGTGAATGGTTCCAGGGTGCTTATCTGAGTTCTGATGGTGAGGATCGGATGCCGGTTACGTTGGAGATCGTGGAACAGTTTCCAAGGAGTCGTTGGAGGATTGCGGGATGAACAGCAGGTAATTCGTTCTAGGAGAATTTGGCAGAGAGAGTCCAGAGAAGTTCATAGGAGTGAACGGTAGACCGGACAGTGAGTGACTGTGCTGTGTGTGTATTTGTAGTGTGGCTTGATTGGTGACAGCAGGTGCGGGTGATCAGAACTCAGGTGACTGTGATCGGGTAATTATCCTGGATGGTGACTGAAGTGACTGTGATGAATCCCTGACAATGTGTGATTAAAGATCAAACACTAGATCAAAATAATCTTTTTACATTTATGCATTTAGATAGAGATGCTTTTATCCAAAGTCATTTATAAAAGAGGAACAAAACCAAGTTAATCAAAGATCTAATAATATTCGTATTAGATTGGACAACTAGTTTAGGAAGCAAGCTAGAGAAGAGGAATACAGAGAATATTGATTATCTATTGATCAGTCAGGTCAAAATAAACCTGTTTCAGCTTTTATTATGATAAATGAGCTCAGAGTAGAGGAGGCAGAAACTAGTCTTGAGTCAGAGTTATAATTAAACTTTAACTTCACTCATAATATCCAGCAAACAAGCAATAATAATGTAATAATACAATGAATCAACTACTGCTAATTAAGATAACGTTGGAGTCCTAAACGAACAACTCGACTTAGAAAGACGAAAATAAAATAAATGGCAATCTTGTTCTCAAACCAGCCACAGAGGCCTTGAGAGGCTCACAAATACTTAAAGATGATAATCTATTAATTATGCATACATATTTTTGCAGAAGCCTCAAATGAATTACTCATTAGGTGGCTGAACTATGAATAGGTCAGAACATGGCCATTTCTGATAATGAAATATTCACTTTCCCCCATTCTAGGTAAGAAAGAGAGAGCAAGAAAGATACGACAGCATTCTGATGTAAGGAGTTTCTGAGCAGGGGGTCTGCAGAGGAACCGATGGATTGTGTGAAGAAAAAAGACTGGCCCATTACACACATTGTAAACGTGTGTGTGGTACTTAATTGACGATCTGCTATGAGGTGACACCCTGTTGCATTATGCATCTGCTGATTAAAAAAATAAAATAAAAATACAAGCAGAATTGCTGGCTGTTTTTAAAGGAGAACAAACCTCAAGCCTCCCTCCCAGACCTCTGTCTGTCTGTCTCCTCCAGGATGGAGAATCCAGTTTGTTCCTGTTTCCATCTCTCCTCCTCATGCCCTCCCTCTCAGTCTCACTCTTTAGCGCACTCTCTCTCTCTCTCTCTCTCTCTCTCTCTCTGTCTTTTTGCTCCCTTTCTCTGACCCTGCGTCCCGATGCTGACAGTAGTGTCTGGGTGGTTGATGCCCCTGGCACTAGGCATGAGTCTCAGAGGAAAATGGACACAGTGTGCGGACAGTAAGCATCCTGGGACACACCCACATGTGGATGTATTATTTTTAGAATCAGGAATCCTGGAACAAAAACACAGACACACAGTGAGACTGATTAAAATGGAATTCATACACTCAAAAGCACTAGTTTAGATCACCACAATAAAGGGATAGTCCACCATGTTGTTCCAAACCTGTATGACTTCCTTCTGCTGAATTAAAATAAATAAATAAAAGGTGATGGCAGAATTTTAATTTTTGTGCCTTTTTAGAGACAAAACTATGGCTGTCAATAGAACAGCCATTTTATTCCACTATATATTTCAATATATTAATTATTTCAATATTACAGCCATTATTTAGAATGCAGAATAATACTCTGTAAATTTGAACTTATTTTATTATTATATATTTGTATAATTACATATTTTATGATTATATTTTTACAGTATTCTTCTCTGAACTACTTTGCGCACCCAGTTTGAAAACCTCTGCTTTAAAGAATTAAAACAAGCCATTCCTCTATTCATTAGTCATGACCACTTTGCTTAACAATGCACTCTGACGACCTCTACTTTACCTGTCGTTGATGACCCCACAATTTCAGCACGTACAATCTACTTTTTCCACTTTTAGATTGTTATAATTCGCCTCTAGCTCCTGCACTACTCTGATGTATTTTTGAAAAGTATTATTGCACTGCTGCTTTTTGTTGGTTCCTGTATGATAAACAGCTTGTGCTTGCATCATCATTTTAAGATGCTTTTAATAAAAGTATCTGCTAAATGATTACATGTAAAACACCCAAACGTTCACTGACTGAACTAGGTGCTTTCCCTTGACCCCTAAATCTTGGAATGGATTAATCAACAATTAAGCTTATTAGCATTGCTGGATGTACAAACACCTAATATTTTCACATCTCTTTGCCTTTCTCTTTTCCTAACCTCATTAAAGGGTTACTCCACCCCAAAATGAAAATGTTGTCATTAATCACTTACCTCCGTCTCGTTCCCAACCCGTAAAAGCTTTGTTCGTCTTCGGAACACAATTTAAGATATTTTGGATGAAAACCGGGAGGCTTGTGAATGTCTCATTGCCTGCCAAGTAAATTACACAGTCAAGGCCCAGAAAAGTATGAAAGACATCGTCAGAATAGTCCATCTGCCATCAGTGGTTCAACCGTAACGTCCAAAATATCCAAAACATCCAAAATATCTTAAATTGTGTTCCAAAGACAAACGAAGCTTTTACGGGTTTGGAACGACATGGAGGTAAGTGATTAATGACAACATTTTCATTTTGGGGTGGATTATCCCTTTAAGTCCCTGAGAATAAAATATGATATTTACAACAAGCAACACAAAAAGGTCACATTGGTTGAGGGGGGAGGACCTCACCTTACCTATGTGGTTCTGGTGAACACCATTTATAGTGCTGTGTCTGTGTTCAGTTGATAGATCAGAGGACACGGCATCAAATTCAACCCATTAACACATGCTGGTTTCCTGCCAGTTCTCACTCTCATTCTGCCACTTCCTCTTGCTCTGTTACTAGTAAAGCTCTGTGAGGAAAAGTAGTCCCGTCTGTATTAGTCCCTTTCTATTCTGAAGTACTTATACTAATGTTATTTAATTATGAGTTCATAGAATTATTCATGAGTATAATTATGAATATACTATTATTTATCTAATTTTATTTATTTATTTTTGAAGAAATAAATCATCACAGAAATATGTATTTTTATGGAGCAATAGTTTATAGTTATAGTTGCCCTGACAAATTTGTTTGGTCTGACTCCAAAACCGACTAATTGTTCTGTTGAAAATCAAAAGGACAAGAAACAAACAATTATAGAGGAAGAAAAAATATCAAGTCAGATTATGTTTGCCATTCTTGACCTATTACTCTCACGCACAGCTGGAGGGAAAGCAGCTCAAACATAAAGTCCAATGAAGTCTAATGACCGAATAATCAGGCAAAACAAATCCAAACATTTCAGACACACAAATGTATAATGCAAAAAGATTTGCACATTGAACAGACATGCTAAGTTATGTTATCTCTTTTTTCCATAGTAAATTTGGTTAACTAAGGTACCGTAAAGAAGTATATGAAATGAATTTAGTGTTCATAATGGAAAAATGACTTCTGTGTTCATAACTGAAATAAGTTTATACCTGACAGGGCATAACCAAAATGCCGTGTTTTTGTTTAGATTTTTGATTTGTTTAGCTAAATAAATAAATACACTGGTACTGGTAACAGAGTAGTTCTGTCAGTGCTTTATTTATTTATTTAAAAAATAACTATATGAAACACAATCCTAATTTCTTGAAAGACAGAATGGCACACTAAGCCCTGGAGCTACCATTAACCCATGACTCATTTTTGCTGAAACAAGTTAAGTTGAGCAATGCTAATTCATACACCCTGCAGAAAATTGAGGAGTGTTACTCATAGACCCACTGACCCACCAGCACAAACCTTGCCAATCCTGGATCACAAACTAACGCACGTGCACAAACGCACGAACACACATCCATTCATGGGGGGCCCTGGCCATCAGTCATTATAACAATCACTGGGAACAAAGCAGCCATAGATTATTCACTCATGCATG